CAACCAGCAGTCTACAGACTGACCAACTCCATCTATCTCCACTCCACCACCAGTTTCAGGTCTGGGGGGGAAACAGCCCTGTTCTTTACTGCTCTTCATGCATATCTATCAAAATTCATCACTAATGTTTCCTGCCGAGGTCTGAAGGCCAAAGACTAAAGTAATTGTATCAATAAAATTCTCCTAATTGTCTTTTTTCTTCTGAGTTTTTCAGCTTGAAATAAGATCTACTGGTTTACAGATAATGATCAGATTGCTTTAAGTGAAATGATCATTCATTTAGGACAGAGTGGTGCCGTACAGGAGATAAAATAGACTTCATGTGTTAGCTATGTTGTGATTTCTGTCATGATGCAATTATCATTTAAAAAATATTAATAATCAATGGGGGGGAAGTAGTCAGTATAGATTGTACACATTTTTACAAACATGAGACAGGTCTGGTCTTTTCATTAAAGTTTTTTAAAAGAATTTATTTTTAAATCATGGTGCAAAATTATTACATATACAGCTAAATGCAGGTTATAGTCAGTTCATCAGAGTACCAATACCTATTTATGCCATTTACTAAATCAGGGAGACTGATGTATTTTTTTTTTCATCATGCAGCTCTACAGGTAACCTGTACCTTTAGAATCAGTACATATGAGCAATGGGACTTATTGCTACAATATAAAATTGTTTCTGTTGATGTAGTTGTAATGTAGAGATTAAATAAAATGAAAATGCAAAACAGTAAAGAAAAAAGGACCTGAGAAACAAAAACCCTCTTCTGCATCCTAAAATACCACAATAAAGGCTACACTATCGATAAACAACCCTCAGCTATGAACATTAACTAAGGAATATCAAGCCAGAAGAAACCTAGAAAAATAAAGTTCCCATTGTGTTCCTCATTCTCTCTTCTCTGCATGAACCGTGCATCAGTGTCACACAGTGCCACCATTGCACGTGATGCAAACTGCGAGCAATGACAGTTCACTCTGTGTGCTTGTAAACCCAGCCCTTTAGTCTGTTCCATGTTTCTTCACCTAATAAATTAATATTATTTTAAATTTTGATAGTTACTGTAGTCTGCTCAGAGCCCTGTAGACACGCAAAGTTATATCAATTAACTGAAACTCCAGTCCTTTCATTCATGGTAATTCAATTTAATACAAATATTTTATGATTCCCAAAGGAAAATGGAGTATTGATGCAATTCATTTCAATCAAAGAATTATAGACTATCATGGCTGTTGGCAGGAAGGATCTCCTGTAGCACTCTGTTATGCTACCAAACTGAAGAAGCTCCTGACTTCAATGAAGCCACATCCAAAGGACGGTCAAAGTTGGGCTTCATTTTCATGTTATTATTGAATTACGTCTCCAATTAACATCCTGTCATCAAAGGTCACTTTATAGAGACTATTCAACCAGATCATCCAGTCAGATTGATTCAAAGTTTTCTATCTAAGGAAAACCAGCTGATTGCATCGACTCATTGACTCTTCAGCAATCCCTC